TTAATGAGGGAGGCAAAAGTCTGCTGCATGAGAAAAAAAAGCTTTGGGGAAACACCAGCTTTAGCAGCAAATAATAGTGAAACAGAGTAATTTATGGGATAAGCTCGAAGAAAAGAATGCAGAAAGGAAGTATGATGCAAGTGTCCACTCAGTAGTGTTTTCTCTGAATGCGAATCTCATGGATGAATTTTCAAAGGCTGGGTTGCCACTCCCAAGAAAAATCCTCCTTCTTTTCCTTCTCTTGTTCACCTTCCTAGAATAATTAAATTGGCATAGGAATGCATGCAAATTTGGGGAAAATATTTAGGCCCAATCCTGCGTCTGGACTGTCAACAGGAATTTTTATTGCTGATCTCTTGAATGTGTATGATCCAACCCCAAAAATTACTCTCTAGAAGTTGAGGCACCAGTGACTGTACATCAAGATGTGAAACAGCTGTGGGCCCCATTGCATTTTTAATTAAAAATAAAAGCAATTAATATAACCAGTCAGACACAACCGTCCTCCCTCCTCTTCACTGGTATCTAGCTGACCAGACATACTCCTTTGCTTTTCCCTCCTTCCCTGACCTTGGCTTTTTTAGTTATAATTTGTGAAGCTTTTTATCATGCCTTTGGTATGTTATCTTTAGTACAGTGCAATCCTTGTACTCAGGGCCATCATGAGGCTCAACTTTGCCTAGAAACCATATTGCTTATGAATATGTATATAACATATGGAATGTGTGTGAGGTGTGAATGAGAACTACCCATCCAAAAAGGCAGTTTAGGGTCCGTGACCTTTTAAAGCAGACAAAGACTCTTCAAGCAGATAAATTAACTGAGAAGTAGCCAGAAAATCTCTCTCTCTTGGACAAGATAGCATCATAGCATAACATCATAGCAGCAACCTGGGACCGACCCAGAGAAAGTAAAGCCTCCCGCAGATCTGAAGGGATTTCCCAAGGAACATCATGGTCGAGTCTCTGGAAAGCTGACACCTGGCCAGCACTCCAGGCACCAGTAAAATCAAAGGTAATCTACACTGCACTTGCAGCCTGCCGCCAAATTGCCAGCATGACTGTGATGTGTGTGTGAGTATCACTTTACTCTTAAGAATCTGTGCCAATAAACAATCCCCAAAGCAATGTTGCTCCAGCCCACCTATTGTGTGGGTTTGTTCCTCAGAAGGTCTGAGGAAGTGCAACAATTGAAATAAATGAGCTATACATTTTTTTTTAAAGTACAAAACTGCAGTATCTTGTCTGTTCTTTGTTTAAGCTAGCTGTACATTTCGGGCGGGATTTTTAAAAATACCAAAGGAAATTAGTTGCCCTCCTCAAAAGTCAGTGGCAGCAGGGCCCACAGAATTACCAGGCCCCTGGGCAAGAGGCGGGGCAGTTCCACACTCCTGGAAGGGCTGGGCCTTGTGTGGAAGGGGTGGGGCTAGAGACAGCCAGCCCTCAGCACTACTCAGAGTGTGCAACTGGGTGCTCTGGTGTTGATTAAAAGGACCTGGGAGTCCCGCAACCATTGTTGCTGCAGTAGAGGCAGCAGCAGCAGCCAGGAGTCCTGGGCCCTTTTGAATTGCCAGGACCTGAGACAGTTGCCCCCTTCTCCTCCCCATCAGCAGGCCTGATCAGTGGCAACTGGGTGCCAACTCCCTTAGTCACATCTGTCAATCCCACTGTTTATAGAAACAGCAAACCAGACACATGTCCAAAGGCTGCTTGCCTTACTTGCTATGCTTTTCAGGTGCTTACTCTGTCCCCATCATTGTGGTCTCCAGCATCTTCTAGAAGTACAATACGGGATGTGACTGGTCTCAGTTATGTGTATTTCTTTCTGCTTTTCCCTCCCATCGGAAATAAATTTAGTGGATACAATACATAGATGTGTGAGTTTTTTCCAGATGTCCTTGGCCTAACCCTGCTCTCATTGAAGGCAAAGGGAACTTTACTTTTGACTCCAATAAGAGCAGAGTTAGGCCAAATCACTTTTGCAAATCCCACCTGATGTGTTTTGTGCTTCTGTTTCAAAGGTAGGATTCCAGTGTTGTGATTTGTCCTTTCAACGGAATGCACACGGATTTGTCATGATTGTCAGCTCATGGAATTGAGTTCTGTAGTCTTTGGATCAGCCCCTGAGAAAGTTTTGTCCCTTACAGAAATGGGCTTTCCCCTTCAATAGGCAGTCCCATAATGCTGAAGGAGCGCAATTCCATTTTATGTAAGGATCCAATGGCTGGTTTCCAAAGCATGATAAAGTCAGACTGGAAATAAGGGTGCATATTTTTAACTGTGAGAGTAACTAATCACTGAATAATTTACCAAGGGTGGTGGTAGATTCTCCATCACTGGCAATTTTAAAATCAAGCATGGATATTTTTCTAAAAGATCTGCTGTAGGAATTATTCTGGGAAAGTTCTATGGCCTGCATTCAACAGAAGGTCAGACTAGATGTTCACAGTGCTCCCTGCTATCCTCAGAGTCTATGAATTCATCCCTTAACTTAAGTCAATTAAATTAATCGAAGTAGGGAAACCAGAAAATGACCAAACACAGAAAACTGATAATCTAAAGTAAATGGCTGAATAAATGGAGAATTCAATAGATGCAAACACCTTATGAAGCCTAAAATGACATGCTGTGGGGATATGTTCAAAGCAAACAAGAAGTTATTTCTCATGACTGTGGATTAAGCTGTGTAAAATACACCTTAATGATTGGGTATGGAATGATCCCAAATCAAGTGACTTTTCATTTCAAATGAAATGTAAATTAGGGTCATTTGTCTAGGGCAAACTTATTTCCAATATTTGTCTTAATGGCAATACTGTACATTGTGATTAACTTTATATCCAACTTTTATTCTCACCAGCTCATTCTACTTTCTAATTATTTTAACAGAAAACAGCAAGAATAATATATTAGCACACAGAATGTTCATTTCTAATGAGTAACAACTTAGCTCTCAATCCAGCAAAAAACATAAGATTGTGTATAATTTTATAGTCCCATTATGCCTTAAGTTAAACACATGATCATACACTTTCATGGAACAAATAAAAGGAAGTATTTCTTCACGCAGCACACAGTCAACCTGTGGAACTCCTTGCCAGAGGATATTGTGAAAACCAAGATTTAAACAAGGTTCAAAAAAGAATTAGATAAATTCATGGAGGATAGGCCCATCAATGCTTATTAGTCAGGATGGGTAGGAATGGTGTCCCTAGCATCTCTGTCAGAGATTTGGAATAAGTGATAGGAGAGGGATCACTTGATGATTATCTGTTCTGTTTACTCCCTCTGGGGGCATTGCACTGGTCACTATTGGAAAACAGGATACTGGGCTAGATAGACCTTAGAGCTGACCCAGTATGGCTGTTCTTATGCTCTTAATGGTGACTGCACACATGCTTAAAGTTAAACAGGTGTTTAAGTGCCTTGCTAGAGTCTTCTAAACACCTTATAAGATCAAACCTTTGCAAAGAATGAAAGTATAAATGAAAGGTTAATAAAGAAACCATGCTTACAGAGGAGCGCATCTTTATCAATCAACTGGAAATTATCACCAGAACTATTTATTAAAATTCATCCTCTAATCTTTTCTATTCCTAGAAGGGAAATAATGGACTGGAATGTTTGATACAATTTTGCGTCTGAAAAATAGCAACCCGTTATCCCCTTGTAATGAATCTAGTGTTGCAAGGGGTGCCGTGTAGAAGGCAGACTTATTAATGTCTCTCTGCTGTAGATTGACATGGCACATCATTAAAGTGCAGACATAGTCATTACTTTGTGCCACGGTGCTTTGCATTATTAATGTTCTCCATGCTGTGGGGACACAGGAAATGCATCAGTGCTCTGTGCGTTTCTAAGCGCCATGATGGATTAAAAAGGAGGTGCCTAGATTCAAAGCCTAGTATTACATTTGACCTTTTAAAGTGATTTCTCCCCCATGGCTCTCATCTTGCATTTGTTCCATATGGGAGTGTTAATGAAACCAATGGGAGATTTGGGCACTAATTAAGGGCCAGTATATAGTCCTTAAGCTACCGTGTCAAAGTAATAACATTAATTAAGGCTTAATTCCATTTTTTTTTTAAATAAGGCCTAGAGATTCAGTAAACCGCATGGTGTCAGTGAGACTATTTACATGCCTAATGTTAAGTATTGGCAAAACTGGTTTGCTGAATTGGAATCTAAGCTAGAGGTGCGCAAATTATGTTTTGGTTTTGTTTATTTTCTCACCCCCTTCAGTAAACTAAAAATAGTTGAAAAAAATTCATTTCAGGTCAAACAATGTGTTTTGTTCTTTATTAAAATTGAAATAAAATTTGAAACCAGTTGTTCTGAAAGGAAAAAATTAAAAAAAATTTAAAAGTGGTTCCATTTTTCAGAAGTTTTAACCAATTTTCACAGTAAATGTTTGTTTTGGTTGACTTAAATCTAAATTTTTCAGCATAAACATTTTTCATGTGAAAAATTGTACCCAGCTTTACTGTACTTTAAGAAATCCACAGAAATGTGGCATGAGTTTATCTCATGTATACTAGTAGGTATATTACACAGCAAATGGAACATAGTATGTAAGATGACCACCTCTTCAGAGACTCCCATACATATTGTAATATATGTCATATACTGTGAATAAACCCCCTTGCCCTACGCTGAGTGCAATCAGGACTGTGTAACTATATCACAGACCTTATACTGCTAACAGCTAAAGGAATTTCTCCTCGAGCTCAACTGGTTGGTTGAGTTGTGTGCATTTGGAGCAGAAATATCAGCATTCTCTTCTAGGTTTCATTATGCAGGTCTGAGAAATGTAATGTATAGTACACTATGACAGTGGTGCTAGGCAACAGCAGATTTGTAACACTAATATTTTTTGTAATATTAAAACGTAGACTTTTGTAACCAACTTCCCTATCTAAAAAATACAGCTGTGTGTTTGGCTGGCTGAGTTTGTGGAGCTGCAAAGGGTTGTATAAATATTACTGACTGTGTTTTGCTTCTCAATATTTAACTTCAATATACTTTGCTGACCAAGTTAGCTACTTCTGCAATGTTTTTATCTCTGATCCTGGCTGCAGAGCTCTCTTGAATGCTCCACATTTATTCTTTGCTTGCAGAACTCTCTTTGCCAATGAAAGTTTAATGCCTGGAAGAGAGAAGAATGTTCATTAGAGGCAGGGTGTGTAGAACAGAAAGAGGAGAGTGGTGCCCTTAATGGTCATCATGAAGGAAATGGAATGTATTCAACTGAAGCTGTGCAGATGCATTTGATTCTGCAGCTCACATCATTTCAAAAACGACAATTACATGTTCAACTTTTTGACCTTTACACATTAATTGTCCATTTTACTGAAGCATATCAGCAATTAAGCTACACTCTGACATTTTGTGATGTTTATCCTTTATGCATGTACACTTGGAGGCCAGGCCCTCAGGTAGGGAAACTCGCTGTAACTGCATGGCAGTTAGTGATGCTAGGCAGATTTATGCCAGCTGAAAAATCTGGTTCAGACCAAAGTGCCATGTTCTCTTTCTACTGCATATTAATGTAAAAAATGCAGTGTTCTTTTTAACTAAAACACATTCATTTGCATATGGATTTAATTGCTTCATATTGCCATTCTAAAGAAAAAATGACTAAAATAGCCATCCATTAATGTGTACTGAGGGGAACAAGGTCAAGTAGATTTATTTCAGGGGAAGCAGTGACAAAGAGAAAAGAGAGGAAGTGGAAATTCTGTGGTATATTCCTCATACACTCAGGGCTCCCTCACCTCCCAGCTCCACAAGGCAAAAACATTGCAGCTGAGGAAATGGAAAAAGGAGAAGATATGGGGATGGAGCGTTGTCTGCGACCTGTTTTCCAGACCTTAGAGCTTTCTGTGCAATACTAATTTTCACCCAGGGCCTCCTCATGGCTTGCCCTGAAAAATTTCAGGTAGGCAGCCTGACTTCAGTGGTCTGAATGGATTTCTGGCCTCCAGTGACAGGGCCGCCCAGAGGATTCAGGGGGCCTGGGACAAAGCAATTTCGGGGGCCCCTTCCTGGCACTCCCTATCTCAGACTTCAGACATTCTCATGGGGGATCGCCCCACTTGCTGCCCTCTCCCCCCCCTCTGGGCGGCCCTGTCCAGTGGCTTGGAGGGCCACATCATGAGGAGATCTTAATAAAGGCAAGCCTAATGTGAACTCTGCAGATTGTCATTTGCCAATGTTACATTCTACTCTAATGTACAATTGAGCTAAGATGTTCAGAAGTACCCAGAGTAGTTAGATACCCAATTGCCACTGACTTTTTCATCATTAGTTAGTTTGGCTAATCCTGATTATTTCATCAGTCATGCAAAAGCAATTAGCTCCCGAAACCACTGGCTTGCATTGCTGTGGGCTTTCATTGACTAGATGATAACTTTGGACCTGGTATGCACTATGATTCTAACTATCCAGTGGGTGGAAAACATTCTCTTTAATGTACTGAATGGATGCAAGTATATTGTCCAAGACTGTAAATACTTGCCTGAACAATTCAGCTCAATTAGCAAAGAATAATGGGGCCATGAGTAAAATGTGTGCAATTTCATCAAACCTTTGTTGCTTAGTAAAGCCTATACCACAATCAGGAAAAGCTCGTGCACCATTTTTACCTCTGATCCTTGCTGCAGAGTCTCAATACGCTACGTTCATTCTTTGCTTGCAGAACTCTCTCTGTGCCAATAAAAGTTTAATGCATGGAAGAGAGAAGAGCAACTGTCAGTGTATGTAACTGAATTGTTTGATGCCATTGACTAGATCAAACAGGGTGTGCCAGCCAAAAATGAGTAATGACATCAGTATGACCTACAGATAGATAGCTATAGTCTGAGGAATCTGTGCCCTAGATCCAATGCAGGTTTAGCTTATGATTTAAGGCCAAAACTTCAAAACCCTTCTCACATGGGCTATGGGTAAACCTAGAGTTGGGGGAGGCAAGCCTCCTGCCCTGCCCCTCACCCATTCTGCCCAGGGCCCTTTGCACCACACTCCAGCTTTCCCCATCTCCAGCCAAGGACCAAAGGGAGGGCCAGCAGTGCATGGCTTCAGCCTACCCTGGCCCCAGCAGGAGCACACGGGGGAGGGATTATGGCACGTGGCCCCAGCCCAGACAGGTCTGGGGGAGATGCACTGAAGTGGGGCAAGGGTGAAGTGTGGGCAGGGCTGGGCTGACAGTTTCCTTGCCTCTTATACCTACCACCCGGGCATTCTCATGAGATTGCAGTAGAAAATAGTAGAAATAATGTGAGAACAACGGATCTTTTGCAAGACTTCTGGGGCACAGCTACACTTACGAGCAGATCAACACTCTGGAGGTCAATCTTTTGGTGTTTGATTTAGCAGGTCAAGTATGAATCCTTAAATCAAACGTTGAAGGCAGGTCCCACCAACATCTGTACGCCTAGCAGTCACACAGAGTAAGGAAAGCCAACAAGAGGCAGAAGAGGTGGATGAGGCTTTTTATAAAAAACTAACAGTCATCCAAAGTGCAGGATTTGGTAGGGATGGGGGACTTCAACTCTCCAGACATATGTTGGGAAACTAATATTGCAGGGCACAGACTTCCCAATAAGTTCTTGGACTGCATCGGAGACAATTTTTTATTCCAGAAGATTAAGAAAGGTACTCGGGGAAACCATTCTAGATTTGATTTTAACAAATGGAGAGGAACTGATTGAACATTTGAAAGTGGAAGGCAGCTTGGGTGAAAGTGATCATGAAATCATAAAGTTCATGATTCTAAGGAAACTTCATGATTCTAAGAAATGGTTGAAGGGAGAATAGCAAAACAGAAACAATGGATTTCAGGAAGGCAGATTTTAGTAAATTCAGAGAGCTGGCAGGTAAGGTCCTATGGGAAGTAATACTAAGAGGAAAAACAACTGAAGAGAGTTGGCAGTTTTTCAAAGGGACATTATTAAGGGACCAAAAGCAAGCTATTCCACTGGATAGCAAAGATAGAAAGTATGGCAAGAGACCCCCTTGGCTTAACCAGGAGATCTTACATGATCTAAAAATCAAAAAGGAGTCACGTAAAAAAATGGAAAATAGGTCAAAGGCAAATAACGCCACTATGCAGGGGAAGATTAGAAAGGCAAAGGCCCAAAATGATCTCAATCTAGCTAGAAACATAAAGGGTAACAATATGACATTTTACAAATATATTAGAAGCAAGATGAAGACCAAGGACAGGGCAGGCCCATTGCTCAGTGAATAGGGAGAAACAATAACAGGAATCCTGAAAATGGCCAGGGATGTAATGGGGGGAGGGCGGGGAGAGGTCGGGAGGGCAGTTGTCTCTGGGTGCCATGCTAGGACAAGTGCAGGGAGAAAGGTGCGGGAGGGTTTGGGACCTCCTGGCCCCACCACAGCAGCCGTGACCACATCAGACCCGCCTGCGCCGTTCTTCCTGCGCTCCCTCTAGTGTGGCGCACTGTCTGCCCCCTCGCTACACCTCTGGAAATGACAGAGGTACTTAATGACTTATTTGCTTCAGTTTTCATCAAGAAGATTGATGGTGACAGGATGCCTAACATAATGAGTGGTCATGGAAATGGGGTAGGTTTAGAAGTTAAAATAAAAAAACAAATAAAAAATTACTTAGGAAAGTTAGATGTCTGCAAGTCACCAGGGCCTGATGAAATGCATCCTACAGTACTCAAGGGGCTGATGGAGGAGATATCTGAGCCTTTAGCTATCATCTTTGAAAAGTCATGGAAGGCAGGAGAGATTCCAGAAGACTGGAAAAAGGCAAATATAGTGTCCGTCTATAAAAAGGGAAATAGGAACAACCTACGAAATTATAAACCAGTCAGTTTAACTTTTGTGCCAGGAAAAATAATGGAGCAAGTAATTTAGGAATTAATCTGCAAACATCTGGAAGATAATAAGGTGATAGGTAATAGCCAGCATGGATTTGTAAAGAACAAATCATGTGAAACCAATCTGATAGCTTTCTTGTGGATAAGGGAAGACTTAAAGAATTGGGCTTGTTTAGCTTAGAAAAGAAAAGACTGAGGTGGGACATGTTAGCTGTTTTTTAGTATCTAAAAGGGTGTTACAAGAAAAAGAGAGAAAAATTGTCCTCCATGGCCTCTGATGATAGAACAAGAAGCAATGGGCTTAAATTGCAGCAAGGGAGCTTCAGGTTGGACATTAGGAAAAACTTCCTAACTATGAGGTTAAATACTGGAATAAGTTTCCCAGAGAGGTTATGGAATCACCATCACTGGATATATACAACAGCAGGTTAGATAGGCATCTGTCAGGGATTATATAATAGGTACTTGGTCTTGCCTTGATGGCAGGGGACTGGACTCAATGACCGCTCAAGATCCCTTCCAGTTCTTGTATTCTGTGATTCTAAGAGCATTTGTTTCTGTCGGCCTCCTGCTGTGTATACACTGCCATGGCTCAGTTTAAGTTATCTTCAGCTACTTCTAAACCTCTTCCAGAAAATAAGTTCTTTTCTGTCAGTGTATGTAACTGAATTGCTTGATGCCATTGACTAGATCAAACAGGGTGTGCCAGCCAAAAATGTGTAATGACATCAGTGTGACCTACAGATTGATAGCTATAGTCTGAGGAATCTGTGCCCTAGATCCAATGCAGGTTTAGCTTATGATTTAAAAATGAGAAGATAAGATTTATGAGTTTTATGAGAAGATAAGATCCAAAACATCAGAAACCCGAGCATGTGTGGGATTTGGATCTGGGTTTCCAGTACGTGGCCTTCTTTAAGGAATTTTTTTGTCCAGTGAAGTACCCTGCTGTTCTGTGGTGCGATATTAGGATCAGTTCTACAGACAGAACTGTGCATGGCAACAATAAATTTGTTGAAGAGGAGTCAGAACAATTCTAGTGCAGATTGTTGGTCTCTGGTATGTGCATCTCTCCTATGTAAAAGCACAGCTGAGAAAAACTGATCCTGATAAAAGGTGAGTTTCTATATTCCACAGTCAGTGGTCACTGTCATATTGTTGGTGCTCCAGAGAAGAATGGAACTGGGGATTCTTGCCCGTTTGCCTAGTGTTAAATCTGCTTTTGAGTTCACATGTATAGATAAAATTGGAGTCATAGATACAGTCAACAGCCAAATTTCCTCCTTAAAATACTGATAACACAGGAAATGCTAGTTGTATTATCTATGTATGTTAGAATCATCAAGGCTCCTTTAAAATATCAATGCAGTGGATTAGCATGTTTTTCTGGATGACAAAGGGTACCCAAAAGTCTGTAAAACTTTTTAAATTTAAAATTTTTTTTACCCTCTGGTGATTTTGAGGTGGTAGTTAGGAAAGTAAGCATATTTCCTTGTACTCTTCATTTGTGTTTCTATAACTTTGTTACTATATGACATGAACATGCAGCATTTCTAAATTTGTCAAAAAAAAAAAACACTTACTGCTTTTCTGTTTTATAAAATCTTCATTTCAGTGTTTGTTTCCAGGAGACAATGTTGCTGGGCTATCACACTGCCTCGTTATTATTGGAATGCCTCCTTACAGGGATGAATTTACCACTTGGTCTTAAAAGTGGCCAGACTTTCTGCTCTCTAAACATGTGTACACTATTCACAGGAACTCACTGAATAATGCTCTATCTTGTATCCCGGAGGATTACATCTTCAAGACTGCCTTCTTCAGTGTCACTCTATCTGCCCGGATAGGATGCAGAAGCAAAAACAATCTCTGAGACATGTTGGCTCTTGTTCATTTGCCATCTTAAGAAAGAAAGGAAGAAAGGAAGGAAGAAAGGAAGAAACTTTCAACAACTACGAATAAGATCCCCTATAGGAAGCAACCCAAATGTGACATCATTGCTTGCAAATGCATATTTACAGATATGCTCTGGTAGAATTTTATATATATACACACACACACACACACACACACACACACACACACAATAAACATTAGAGTCTTTGTTCGTGGTTTTTTATATGAAAAGTCCCATAGCATGCATTCTTTAGGCACTGGATTTTTCTGGATGATTTTCGGGGATTAGAAGGGATAGGGAGAGATTAATAAGAATACTTAAAAAGCTTCAATCTTGTGCTCTTTGAAGAGCTTTCCTTGTGTCTTTGAAGTTTACATGAGTTTTAATGCAAAGCAATGTTTTCTTACACAAAACCAAATTCTTTAATGTAACTTGAAATCTAGAGCCACCGTTTGTCAAAGCTTTCATATAGAATCTTATTCTCTTATATTTAATTTAAAATATTTTCTTAAATTGTAATGATACAAAACATATGAAATGATCACTAGACTCTCTGGGGACACATAAAGCCTCTTATATTGATCTAACTGCTCAACAAGGTGATTATGGGTAGAGAAATCAATATGGTATCTTGCCAACTAATCTTCAACCCATGCAGGCTTAAGGTAAAGAGCTCAGACTTAAAGCTTGAAATATGTTCATTCTCCTGGACAAAAGCTTTTTTCCAAAATATCACGTTTTGGTATATAAGAAAAATGAAGTTATGCTATCCAGTAAAGTTAAATCCAGTAAAGTCAAAATAAAATACTTTAGTGTGTTGAAATGGAAAGCACACCATGAATGCCTAACATTATCATAGGATGTGTCTACACAACGCCCTTACTTTGAAAGAATTCTTAAACACAAATCGTGTAGCTTATTTCAAGGTTATTTCGAAATAGCTTATTTTGAATTTCGAAGTAAAGTGCTATTCTGAGAAATCCCTTAACCCTTGTGGAACGAAGGTTACAGGGATGCTGGAATAGTGCACCCATTATTTTGAAATACATTTTGAAATAACAGGTGTGTTTAATGCTGCAGAATTGCTATTTTGAGATACTTCCAGTATCTTGAAATAGCCCCGCAGTCTAGACATAGTCATAGGGACTGGATAGCAACCAGTTTAGAAATAACTGCCATTCCTTTGCCCCCTTTCTAAATCAGTAACCTGAATCAGTCATTTCTAAAAAGTACAGAATGTAAGTGAGGTAATATCTTTTATTGGCCCAGCTTTGGTGTTTGAGAGAGAGAAGCTTTTGAACCACACAGAACTCTTATTAAAGTCTGAAGCTTATCTCTCTCATCAACAGACGTCTGGTCCAATAAAAGATATTACCTCAGCCCCCATGTGTCTCTAATATCATGGGACTGACATTGCTATAAGACGCCATGCACAATGCTAGGTTAACCATTTTCTGGAACTGAAAGCAGAAGTGCCACAATATCAAGGAATATTACAGTCCTGGATTTTCAAATCACATGATTTTTGGTGCCTAATTTGAGACATTTTAGAAAAGTCTAATTTTCACACTGTGGGTGCTCACCAAAACTCAGGCTTCCCATACCTGATTACTCAGTCTTCCAAGCAGTCGCTAGATTTTCCTTCAGCTTCCAATAGCCACCAGTTTCCTGCAAATACACCTATCCAGTGATCCCTTCTCGGACACTTTCTAGTACATATCTGCCTACTCCAGCCATACCTAATAATTATGTCTTATTTCTAGCATTTTTTAAGGCAGAGTGATGACTATAAGCTAATGTTTACAGGTGAATGCAAATTATTTACCACTATGCAAATTAGCTTATTGACTACTTTGAATAAAATATCTCATGTGTATCCCTCCTTAAAAGTTGTGAGCTGTGCTGGTTCTGATCACTTGTGTAAATCGGGAGTAATTTCACGGAAGCCAGTGAACTTTCTCTAGTGTAAAAAGCGGAGAGAATTCAGGATTCAGGTTCAGTTTTTACAACCTAATTTGTCTTCCTTGAATGTTGTCACCTCAAACAAACTGATCATGAATCTCTGAGGTTTATTTCTTAAAGCCTCAGCTCCTGAAACTTGTTCCAGTTTTCGTTTAAAAAAATAAAACTTCTAGTCCATGTGGTTAGAGAGAAAAGCTTGAAGATGTGGATCCTAATTTCTCAAATGCTGAAGGGAAATTAAAATAAGTATATTATTTTTAAAATCTCTGGATTTTTAATGTGGGGCCTGTATACCAATATACTTTCATTTCTAGGGTGGCTTCATTGGACCTGTATTGACTGATGAGGCAAGGGTTCAGTATTTAAAACATTATTGAAATTGAGTGTCTAAAAATGTGCATACAACAATGTTGTGTCTGATTTATCTATGCAAATATCACAACTTTAGTTGCAAACTGGGTGTTGCTGAATGCGGTTTATCTGTTATGCATCCAATTGCACCCCTGTTTTTCTTTCAGTTTAACAGTATTGCCCAACTAATGCAACTGACTGTTCTTTTCTTAAAGGTGCTGAAGTCAAAAGAATCTCAACTTTCAATTTTAAAGATCGTTACATTTCCAGTCCTTATTGATGCACAGAAAAGCTTGCTCACATGACATGAAAGTACCCTAAATGGCAAATAAAAAGAACCCCAAATTTATTCTAAGCCAGTTTCATAGGGTTGTCAGGTGTCCGGTTTTGAACCGGACAGTCCGATATTTGAGCTTTCTGTCTGGGAAACAAATTGAGAAAATATAAATGTCCGGTATTTTCTAATTAAGTAAGTTTTATTATTATCATGAGTATCAGTACGTAGTTGCGTACTGCCTGGCTGGTAGACACACGTGGAGCCGTAGTCAGACTTGCTTCGCTGGGACCATTCATGGGACGGGCAGCACCCTGGAATCTGCATGTGCCTGGGTCAGCCCCTCTCCCTGCTGGCCAGTCCCCCCTCCCAACTCCACCTCCAGCCAGCCCCATTCCCCCTGACCTTCCAGATAGGCCTCCCTCCTCCCCCCCATCTGAGATCAAGTGTGTTTGGTATTTTTTTTTTAAAACCATCTGGTAAACCTACAGTTTCATGATTTGGGAGTGGGGAGAGATGCCCCATGACTTTTAAATGTTTGGGGTTGCTAAATAGGTGTTAAATAATATACAAGTGTTAAATATATAAGTTTTTGATAACTAGGAAGTTGGACATTTGGATTCATAAATGTGGGTGATTCTCTCAGTGAAAGCTATAGATGGCTATCTTGGAGAAGGATTGCTAAGGAAAGCAAAGCGAAACAAAACCTTAAAAATAATGAAGCAAATTCATCCCCAGCATAACTGGGCAGAATCAATAGAATTGTACCATGAACCTGACCCGAAGTGTTTATTTTCCTTCATGACTGAAGACCTTTCCTAGGTATGACTGAGCTAAATATGACTGCAAATAACACGCCACAGTATTGATTTCCAGCCACTGTCTCTATTTGATTCTCTGCTCCAGGTGGGCAGGGATTCGTTATTTCATATATCACACTCAACTGGCTATTGTGATTCCATAAATGCAGGAGGCCTTGCAAAGTTAAGAAGCAAACTTTTTATTTTTAAAGGATTTTTGAGTGCCCCGTAGTGGCTAACATGACTATTGTGCACCAAGGGAGCTGTGCACTGTCACTTGATTAATTATAATTTATGCTGCAGGAGGATCCAAAACATCATAGATGCCAGCTACTCAGCAAAGACACAATCCCTGCCAGACCTTGCAGTCAGAAAACTGTGATTTGTCAGTCTGATTTATCTGCCCTTATACTACAGGGCCTTCAAATAGACTGCTTTCCAAGTAACTTTTTTTAATGCAAGATGGCAGTAGACAAGGTGCACAAATAGGTGAGTGGAGGGAAAAAAACCAAACCTGACTGGCTGACATTCAAAAACATACAGCCTCGCCCTTGTCTTGTTCAAAGACACTGGTGTTAATAAGGAGAAAAATGCAAAGCTAATGTTTAGCTTTCTTCATTAATGTCACTGCAGAGAGCTTCATTACAGCTTCACGCACTTATTCAATGGCTGATTACATCAATGCACAAATTACTGCATTTATAAGCATTTCTATTCTGCTCTGAAATACAAAATTATTTTTGAACTCTTCAACTATTAAAAAACATTCTATTGTCAAAGCACTGGGAAGATGTTGATATACCAGCAAATTTGCTTTTCTAATGTTTTCAATTATTCCCTTTAACAGACAGATCTGTGAAGGAATTTACTGCTTGTATAGTTCTACAATTAGTAAACAGTTTTGGTCACCATCACTCTTTTACATCCTGAATGTGTGTAAAATTAATTTAGAGCTCTAGTTAAGCTAACACCAATAGTTTAACTGGGAGAGCTTGGTTTTGGTGAGTATCCAAACTATGGATGCTCAGCCAAAGTGGGCAAAACATTTACATCCCCAACACTTGAAATCAACCTTGATTTCAATTCAACCACTGTGCATGAACCAGTATTGATTTGCTCAATGATTTAGTGTTCACCAACGTGGATACATATGCTTTTGTTCTATCTCTATGGAAATTGTTTGAACTATGTTCATGAGGTATGCCACATGATACTTTACCTATTACCCTCATTGGCTGAGCCTACTCCACATGATTAAAAGAATCCACACAAGCCATTGTTAAGGACATACTTTTAACCGAGTTCTTGGTGGCATATTACAAAAACAGATACTGGTTTGTATATAATCACATTCAAAAGAATCATTTTTGTGCATGTAATTAGGAAAACAACAGTGGGACAGAGGAGAGGATTGAATTTTGCCTTTGACAAAAATTCCATACCTATTTCATACAAGTGGAAGATCTGTATTATTTATTGATTACTTTGGGTACATCTACACTAGCCCCCTAGTTCAAACTAGGGAGGCTAATGAGGGTGACCAAAATTACTAATAAAGCGCGGGATTTAAAAATCCCGCACTTGATTAGCATATTCCCGTCCAGT